CACAATGTCATGGCAGTCTGACAAAATGTGACGGTGTTTAGACAAGTCAATACCACATTTGGACAAGACAAAACGACGGTATAACATAACACAACAGTGTCATAACAAACCAGGATCATATTTGGACAAGATGACACCAAGTTCCGACAAGATTACACTTCTGTTTCACATAATAAGACAATTTCAAGACATTTCAACACCACATTTAGCAAGGCATTGTTTACACATGTTGAAATCTTAATTCGAAAAGAAGGCGTGCATGTTAGACATATTAAGACTTCCATTGGGCATGTTAACACCTGATTTGGACATGATAACATGACGTTTTGAAATAACAAGACTGTGTTTAGACAAGTCAGCACCACGTTTTGACAAGATAACACAAATATTTGACCTAATAAGACTTGATCGTTAAGACAGGTTCTAATAAAACGATGGCAAGCCAACACCACTATTATACGTAATAAGACGCTTTTCGGGGAAAATAAAGCGAAATGTAACAACATAAGGCAGCTATGGCGTGCCATAAAATTTCCTAAGATATCATATCTTACTGTCTTAAGATAGAACACTAATTCACTACAAAATGGGGATTTTTACCTTATTATAACAGCCTAGGAAATGAAACAGAATTATAAGTGCAACATAAATCTATTATATTAATTAACAAGCATATCTAATTGATTAAAATAAGAATATCTCAATAAATTACATTGAATATTCAAAAAATTATGGCTTATTTCCTATGATGTATAACTATACAAGCTTACACACTAATTCATTAAAAATGGGAGTAATATTACCTGATTATAACCTCATGGTAAATGAATCAAAGTTAGTTAAGCAACATAGTATTATTATATTAAGTAATACCTACATCAAATTGACTTATATAAGAAAATCCCAACAAATTTCATTGAAAATTAAGAAATAATGGCTAATTTTCTTTAATGCCTTATTAATAACTTTACCACACTAAATCATTGAAAATTTGGGGTTTTTAACATTGTTCACTGTACCCATTCAAGGACGAATTTCAATAAAGCAGGGGAATATGTGATGGTTCGGAACTGTTCACTATATAGGGAGATAATGCGTAAGCCGCCCAATACAATATAGTTCAGTCGGTTGAGTGGCAGAATGGTATTCCAAGGGTCCCAGGTTAAAGTCCTGGTGAGGCAGCACCTTTCTTTTTTAACTAAGTGTGACAGTAACAAAAAAGGAAGGTATTAGGCATTTAATGTTCCTTAATAATAATATAGCATATTATAAGTTGATATATAATTTTAATAATGTTAATGTTATAATTTATAACATATAGTGCATAAAATGTCAATAAATTTCAATACTATGAAACATATTTTCTGATGCCCTGCTCTTTTGGTAAATCCATATACTTTACAGTTTACACATGATTCACAAATTATTGGAGTCCAACACTCCTCCCCTCCTGCCCTTGTGGATCCAGGTGCATGAGGTTAACAAGTTTCTCCATTTTCCTCATTTTTTCTCGCTTACAGTTTCGGGCCCAAAATAGAAGTTTATTCTTAATATAACACTTTAATTCATTAAATTTCATTAGGCTTTTCACACATCTATAATCGTTCTTACCTGTTATATAAAAACATATTTTATCAATATCTTTTTATGGAATATAATTTTTTGATAACAAAAAAAAGAAGAAAAGAATTAATATATGCATGTAGTTTTACAGCTGATAATTTTTTCAGAACTCATATAAAAAAATCAAATCAATATTTATTTTCCCAGGGAAATTTCATTATACGTATTATCACCGAAAATCTTCTTTATATCAATCATGTTTGCAAGTATGTTTTATATTATATATATTATATTATAACCCATAATGCATAGTATTTATTCTATATATTTATTAAATTTAAAAAAGCTGGTTAAAAATTGAGGTCGAAACTTTCAGGGCCGAAACGTCCAGGAGGTGTAATTAGTCCTGAAACATATCGATTTAGCCCTTGTCTGGAAAATATGTTGTGCTGCCGGTCTGCAAAGTATGTTTTCCTTTGTTTAAAAAGGTCATGTATTAATTTCGTTCGCTTCTATGTAAATGATTTGATAATTTGATCGCTGATTTGCTAAAGTTACTACCATTCGTTTTATTTTGTTTACGCCAGAAGCGGTGTCGACGTAATTATCGTCTATCTAAGAGATTCCTGGTATAAAGCAAAGTATTTTTTTTTTAGAAATGTGCATAAAGACGAACCCGTTAAATCGTTTTTAATGCATGTATTAGCGCTTGATGGCTTATAATTTCAATAATCATTTGTTGAGGTTGCCCGACAAAAAATAATGTTGTGCCAGGTTGAGTGCATTCGCGGTTTGATATCAATTGACAGCTCTTACCTGGGACATAAGATAAGTTAGTTAACATAAACCCGTTTAAAATACATGAATGTCTAGCTATAATTTAATCAAATCGCTAAACGATCTAGCTAAAGTTGTTAAAAATTTATATGATAAGGATATTTTATTAACGTTTAGAAATGTTTTAGTGTGCGTACATCATTTAGGTCTTTCTTTTAGCGTTTAGCGTTTTGTGTGCGTCTGCGAATCTCGTTTTGTAAAGCGTGCATGTAACGTGCGTGCGTTTTTTTTCGGAACGTGCGTTTTGCGTGTAAAGTGAAACGTTCACCCTACTGTATCACATACACAAAATAAAGACCGTTTAAAGTGTAATAAGAGTAGTTTTTCATTTACGCGCCTAAAGTATAACGCTAACATATAGCGCGTCTTTACACAATGTTTGTATAACGCTAATGACGTCACATCAATTATATGCACAGATGAGCAATACCATATTTACAGAGTGGCAAAATCGGCACCGGTGTGTGATAAAGCATTTTCATACATATTAATTTTCAATTTTAAGTGATATGAAAAATATTTTCTGTTGTGCTGTACTACCCTTACTATTTTACTTTCGATATTAGCGCATGATAGCTTATAAATATTTCTAAAGGTTGTGACAAAAATTAATGTCGGTGCTAGGTTGAGTGCATTTATTTCAGTTCTTACATAAACTCGTTTAAAATACATTTCTAATATAATCAAAATTTATAGCTAAACGATCTACATGTAGCTAAAGTTGTTAAAAACTTAACATGATTACGATATTTTAATAAAAGTTTAGAAACGTTTTCATTTTGCCTGCGTTTTAGCGTGCGTATAACGTTTACCGTATTTCGTTCAGCGTATATCGTTCTGCGTGCGTCTGTGTATTTCGTTTGTTTTGCGTGCGTATAACGTGCGTTCGTAAAGCGTGTAACGTGCGTGCGTTTTTTCCAGAACGTGCGTTTTGCATGTAAACTGACACGTTCACCCTACTGTACACTCCTGGCACTGCATTTACACTCGCGACACTGCATAAGTTATCGCTGCACTGGATGTACACTCGCGAACTGCATTTACTCTCGCGACACTGTATGAACACGGTACTTCATGTACACTCCCGGCACTGCATTTACACTCGCGACACTGCATTAGCTATCGCGGCACTGCATGTATTATCGCGACACTGCATTAACTATTGCGGCACTGCATGTACACTCGCGACACTTCATTAACTCTCGCGACACTGCATGTACACGGTACTTCATGTACACTCCCGGCACTGCATTTACACTTGCGACACTGCATTAGCTATCGCGGCACTGCATGTATTATCGCGACACTGCATTAACTATCGCGGCACTGCATGTACACTCGCGACACTTCATTAACTCTCGCGACACTGCATGAACACGGTACTTCATGTACACTCATAACACTTCATGTAATATTTGCGGTTTATTTTAAAAGATTTACAAGCATGTTTTTAAAAGATGTGTGCTATTGATAACCAATAAGAAAAGAAACAGCTGAGGCCATAAATAACATGTACATATACAACTCAATGACCTTAAGCTTTCATACGATTAACATTTGAGATGTTTATAACTTAAGGTATATTTGAGTATACATATTGTAGTTTTATGAAGGTCGTTTGAGGTCATCAATTAACTTGAGTCTAAGTCTTCATTTTTTTAAAGAAACCGAACATATCCTATCATGTTTTCTTTAAAATTTATATAAATGAATATGCTTACATGTATCTTTTGTAGAGAAAAGAATTTCACACATAGATTCTTAATTTCTTTCCATGAAACATATATAAAAGTCAGATATTTATATCAAAGAAAAAAAAACGAATAACTCAAATATTTCTTACCTACCCTAGTAGGTATTTCCTTAATAGTACATGTAGTTAGTTAAAAAGTCGGGCACCTTATTTTTTTGAAAAAAATCTAATTTACTTCCTTTCAAGGAAAACATCTATAAATAGCATGTTCTACTTTATTTCTCAAGCGTTGAACTGAAGTTAGGACAAGCTAATGTCAAGCCATTGACTGATTAGAAATAAGTCATGTACAGTACAGTAGGGTAAAGTATTGTACTTTTTTAGTGTTTGGAGCACCACACTAAATAACGTATTCCGGTATATACCGGACACGGCGCTTGAATGATAAAATGCTAAAACCTTGCCTTTTTGGTACCCAGCAGAATGAACTTTGAAAGGTCTAATTCATCTTTTCACACCGATTTATGTATGATAATAAATGGGAAATTAAAAAAAATCGGCAAAAAAACGATATTTGTCTATTTTCTGATAATGATTTCTGCAAGTGTCTAGAGGTACTGCTCCAATTCTGTATTGAGTTAAATCCATTATTTATGGTACCAATAGTGCGACACACACATACATAAGTTATTTTCCATGATGATCAATAAGAAAAAAAATTATACTTTTCTTTTTTTAAAACAAGTAAATGTGTATGACGTTATGTAAAGTGAACAATAAAATAAAAGAATTTCAAACTCTTAATTTCTTTATATATAGATTTAGCAAATGCATGTTGAAACACGCATGAGAATGACAAATTAAAATAAACAAATAAAGTAATGAAGTTTATGTAAAATATATTTACCTTTTGTATTGTTAGGTATAACTATGTTTCAGAAGATAAACTTTCCAAACTTTCATTAAATGAGATTCATCAATTAGAGGATTTTCTTTTCTTAAATGTAACGAAGCAAATTTAAGTGTCCTTCAGGTTAACGCCCCAGATTTAACTTCCGTTCGTGGAAAACGTCTAGGGGGATACTAATCGACGGTCTCCGGTCTCCGGTCTTCGACGGTCCCCGGTCTCCAAAGACCGTCGAAGGCCGTCAATTGTAGGAGACCGTCGATTAGTAGGTTATAACACAAATCGACGGTCTCCAGATTATATACGAAATTAGACAGAATGACCAATAGGCAATAACACTTTTCAGTGATTTATGTCAATAGTTTAGAGTGATTAACTGGTATTTTTGACGAAAAAAAAATAGAGTAATAATAACAAAAATTGAAATTTTTCAATGGTTATTAATATATTTATAGAATTTAGATGTTGTGTTTGTTCAGTTGTAATTCAAAAATGATCAGTTAATGTCTTAATGAAATAAATACATTTTTGACTTAATATATGTAAAAATATTCACAACAAAAGACCGTCGACGGTAGAACCGTCGATTATTAGGTTATTATACGAGATTTATTACATAATTGGAATTGCGAAATAAGTAAAATGTGGTCAATCAGCATTTTTTCTAAAAATAAAATAATCGTTAACATAAAAATGTTTTTGTTTTTCTCCGTGGAAAATTTAATATTATTTGTTGAGAGCGTTCAGTTATTACATTTCGCCAAAGGGTAGATGTAAATAAAATAAATAACGGATTTGACTGTTTGCGAAATGTAATATCCAGGCCACACCACGAGGAGGAACTCTCTCGTGGCCCAACCTAACTTTATTAAAATGAAAAATGGGAGATAATGTATTTCAAAAATAATTGCACATGAAAAGTTAGAAAAGTAACAACAATATAATTAAAGAAATTTATTATGGGGAAAAAATCGTCAACTTTTGTCTGGAAAAGCCTATTTTTCCTTAATGCAAATAAAAAACGATGTTTTAAATAATCAAATCTGTTGAATTGACAAATGACCTGTTGAACTGACAAATTGAAAAGGCGAAAATAATGGTTTACGAAATATACAAAATGCAAATATAAACAAACAAAAAAAACAAAAAAAAACCACACACACACACAATTAAAGGCAATGTAAATAAAATTAAACCAGCTAATAAATTTCAAAGTACGAAGACAAGTACATAAGTGAAAATAAAACATGAACATAATAAACATTTATGCAATCAATTTATGGAATAATGAAAAAAAGAGAATATTTTAAAATAAATTTGCAATTTTGCACAAGAAAAGTTAGACAAGTTACAAAAAAATATTTCAGAAATTTATTAGAATCGATTTCTTAATAGCACAATTTTGGTTTTAAAAATCTGTCTGGAATAAAATTTTAAAACTAAAAAAGCTGTTAATAAAAGGGCCTACTTTTTAATGAATGCAAAAAAAATCATATTAATTATATTATATCCCTTTTTTAAAGGAATATCTTATTTGCTTTTTTTACAAATCATCAAAAAATTTGACACAAATAAACTATCGTCTTAGAGAAAATGCTTATTGGCTGGCTACATAAATTAATAACACGAGACAGTCGATTCGTATAGTAACCTAGTAATCGACGGTCTCCTACAATCAACGGTCTTTGGAGACATAACCATACCCCGAGACCGTCGATATTTATAAAACTACTCACCGACGGTCTCACACCATTGACGGAGTTCGACAGTCTTTAGAATATATACAATTGTGCGTAAACTAACACATTTTTATATATTTTTAAATTTAAAAAAAAATCGAGATTATACTACTTCTTATAATAATAATAATATAGAGGGAGTTCATGTAACATAAAATCTTAGACCTTAAACAAGAAAAAAAAAGAAAAAGGAAAAGAATAAAGAGAGAAAAAACATGGCTTTGTTAATTGACCGGCTAAATTAATTAATAACCATATAATATCCATTAAATTCATGTATAATCACGAGACCGTCGATTTGCGTAGTAACCTACTAATCGACGGTCTCCACGAGACCGTCGAAATTTATCAAACTACTGAAGACTATAATCGACGGTCTCCCTGTTGACGGTCTTCGACGGTCTTAGACTAATATTATCTGTCATATGTTGCGGTTTGAACCGGAATATCCGTCCCGAGGGGACCCGCCCATAGGCGGGTTCCCGAGGGACGGATATTCCGATCCAAACTGCAAACATATGTTAGATATTTTTTCTTGCATATTCAGCCATATTATTTCATATTCAAAATGTTTTATCTCAATATGATATATGTTCATGGAAATTAAAGTCATTTCATCCATAACTATTTTCTTACAATAGCGTATGAACTTACAACTTAAATAACAACGGCGAAATGACGTCATCCTAAGCACATATTTCTCTTCTAAAACGACGTCATTTTAACGCGGTTCATTCATAAAGTGCGCTAAAATGACGTTGTTGTTTGGCACGCGACTCATCTGGCACCCCCGATGCCAGATGAAATTTCCGGCATGGGTAAAACTCACGGAAACGCCAGTCTGCTATGCAAGAAAATTGTGTGCAAACTTACAAATTAACATTTTTTCTGTTTAAATAATTCTGCTATTATTACTTATACAAATGATAATATTATCGATGAAGTTGATATTTAAAAAAAATACAAATAAAAACCACTCATAAATACAAAAAGGGGAAATCTGGAATAATAACAATGATCTATCAATTAAATGAGTCATCAAAAAATCATATTAATTATATCATTTTGTAAAGAATATCTTATTTGCTTTTTTTTACAAATCATCAAAAAAATTGACACAAATAAACTATCGTCTTATGGCTGGCTACATAAATTAATAACACGAGACCGTCGATTCGTATAGTAACCTACTAATCGACGGTCTCCTACAAACAACAGTCTTTGGAGACATAACCATACCACGAGACCGTCGATATTGATGAAACTACTAACCGACGGTCTCTCTCCATTGACGGAGTTCGACAGTCTTTAGAATATATACAATTGTGCGTAAACTAACACATTTTTATAGATTCTTAAATTTAAAAAGAATCGAGATTATACTACTACTTATAATAATAATAATATAGAGGGAGTTTATGTAACATAAAATCTTAGACTTTAAACAAGAAAATAACAAACAAACAAACAAACAAAAAGAAAAATGAAAAGAAAAAAAAAGAGAGAAAAAAACATGGACCTTAAACAAGAAAATATAAAAAAAAAATAACAAAAAACAGAAAAAGGAAAAGAAAAAAAAAAGAGAAAAAACATGGTTTTGCTAATTGGCCGGCTAAATTAATTAATATCTATATAATATCCATTAAATTCATGTATAATCACGAGGCCGTCGATTTGTATAGTAACCTGCTAATCAACCGTCTACTACAATCGACGGCCTTTGTAGACATAAAACTATACCATGAAACCGTCGATATCTATAAACTACAAATCGACGGCCTCTCCCCATTGACGGTCTTTAGAATATATACAAATGTGCATAAACTCACAATTTATGTATGTATTTTTAAAGCTAAAACATCGAAATTATACTACTGATACTACTGATACTAATTACTACTGTTACTAATGATATAAATAAAAATATTAGACATTAATATTTATTAATAAATTTCATAGCATTTTTATATTCCAATATATTTCATTGTCTTAAAAAAAAATAAAAAAAATTTAAAAATGGTATGTAAATTATGTTTTATCTTATTCATTTTTAAATCGTATTTGTTATTTTACAAGTTATAGAAAATAATAATGAAATCAATAAATTATCATCTTAGAGAATTTGCTTATTGACCGGCTAAATTAATTAATTTCTATATAATATCCATTAAATTAATGTATAATCACGAGACCGTCGATTAGTATATAGTAACCTGCTAATCAACCGTCTACTCCAATCGACGGCCTTTGTAGACATAAAACTTTACCATGAGATTGCTAAAGTTATATATAAACTACAAATCGACGGTCTCTCCCCATTGACGGTCTTCAACGGTCTTTAGAATATATACATGTACAAATGTGCATAAACTCACAAATTTATATGTATATAGTTTAAGCTAAAACTACTACTACTACTACTACTAACTACTTCTACTACTAATAATATAGATCTAAATAAAAATATAAGACCTTGATATATATTAATAAATTCTATAGCATTTTTATATTTCAATATATTTCATTGTTAATTTGTTTATCTAATTTGCTGCATATCAATATCCGATTAACCCATATTTTTTATATTTTCCCTTTTTATCTAATCATTTCTTTCCCCATTAATATCCTTAAATATTGACATAAATAAAGTATCGTCGTAAAAAAAAATGTTAATTGACCTATTATTAATTATTTCTAAATTATTATTATCAATTCATCGCGAGACCGTCGATTTGTGTTAAAACCTACTAATCGACGGTCTCATACAATCGACGGTCTTCGACGGTCTTTGGAGACCGTCAAAGACCGTCGATTTTGTGGAGACCGTCGATTAGTATCCCCCCTATAAATAGCACGTTCTAGATTTATTAAAGGCCGGTAATGTATATTGTTGCTCGTATCATTTCACAGTTACCTTCCTTTAATGATGAGAAACGCTATAAGAAATTTTAAGCGCATAGACATGCTAGCTTGTGTTTAGTACGGAATGCCGTTAGGGCCATTGCCTATGAATGTGTTGATCTGAAACGCGATAGTCGATAGTACGATGGTGAAAACGCGAAATCACGAAACTACGATGGTGAAAACGAGAAAGCACGATGATGAAAACGCGAAAGTACGATGATGAAAACGCGACAGTACGATACTACGATGATGAAACGCGATAAACTATCGTGTTTTCACCATAGTACTGTCGCGTTTTCACCATCGTAGTTTCGTGATTTCGCGTTTTCATCATCGCACTGTCGTGTTTTCATCATCGTACTATCGCGTTTTCACCATCGTACTATCGCGTTTTCACCATCGTACTATCGCTTTTTCATCATCGTACTGTCGTGTTTTCATCATCGTACTATCGCGTTTTCACCATCGTACTGTCGTGTTTTCATCATCGTACTATCGCGTTTTCATCATCGTACTATCGCGTTTTCATCATCGTACT